TAAAGTCTGTAAGTGTTTTGTTAAGTAAGCGCCATTGTGCAATATATTTTGCCTGGATGATCTTTTTACAAATATTCTTTGCAGGTATATATATATATTTATTTATACTATATATTTAATATATTTATATTTAATAAAACTCTTTATACCAATCTTCTTATTATATATAAAAATAATATTTGCAAAAAATTTTTTTATTTTTTTACTAATAAAGTCTTAATACTTTTTTTAAAACAACTTGAAATATGACTTTAAGAATTATTTTCATCCTTTTTCTATTATTTACAAATCTCTTTACTCAAAAACTTGACTTTTAATAACTAAAAAAAGTTAAGTAATATCTTTAATATCAATAGCAAGAAGTTCTCAAAAAAGAAGAACTGTTTATAAAATACTTAAAAATTTTCTCAACCATTGAAATAAGAGTTTTATAAAGATTTTTCTATAATAAAAGTCTTATTTTCTTTTTTTTTTATTTATTTATATCTTTTTAAAGCTCTTACTTCATAGTTTTCTAAAAAATTTATCTATTTTAATTTGATTTTAAATTTTAAGTAATATAAATTCTTATTAAAAATAATTTATGAATATAAAATACATTAATTTTTATAATATAAATACGCTCCTATTAACTAAATTTATATATTTCAATAATATAATTTATTATTAAAAGAATATTTAAAAAATATTTAACTTTAAAAACTTAAATTCTTTAATAAAGATATTCATAATATTAAAAGATTAAAAGATAAGTAATATAAATTACAAAATCTTATTTTTTACTTAAGTTTCTCAAATAGTAATAAAGTTTTAATAAATTAAAGTTAAGATTAAATACTTTTTTTAAGATATTACCGTAGACCACTGCATACAATACCCCCCTAAAGTAATACCCCCCCTTAAATAATACCTGGTAGTATTTAAGAAAATTGTTACTCAATAAATGTTTACTACCCGGGTATATTAAGCTAAAGCCAATAAAATTGCAATATGAATGGACAAGTAAGAGATACATCAGATGATAATAACACACTAAATATCTCACCATTTATACTACCCCCCTTCTAGTAGAATACCCCCAGGTATTAATCAATTTATCATGGGGTAAATTGATTAATACCTGGGGTATTGTATGCAGTGGTTTACGGTACAATTCAGTACTTGTTTAAATAAAAGATTAGTTAAATTGATTTGTTTAATACAATAGATAATAAAAATAAAAAATTCTTTTATAATAGTAATCTGTAGATAATGATATTAAAAGTTAAAAAGGTGTTATCTGAACTTCTAATGGGCCAATAAATTACCCCAAGTTGCACTTAGAAAGATAAAACAATCAAGATAAGTGAGTTAGTTAAAGAATTAGCTTTAGCATCTCATATTATATACACAGCCTACAAATGTTTAATAAAGTATATATAATTAGTCTGACAGAGGGGAGAAAAAAAAAATAAATAAAAACAAAAATTTCTTCTAAAGTTCAAATGAAGTAAGAAAATTATTTAAATCAAACAAATTCTTTTTAAAAAAAAATTAATTTTATTTTTGAAATTTTTTGATAGATTTTAAATTGTTTTCTTTATCTTATTATTTTTTTCTTTTTTTTTAAACTTAATAATTAAGTAATTTTGAAATTAATTAACAATAACAACTATTGACAATAATTTCAATAGATAGTAATTAATTCAATTATATCAGAAAATATAATATTATTTCTAAAATTTGACTTGGAACACTTATATATAATAATAAGTTAATTATATTATAAAAGTATCTATAAATTATTGTAAATTTTATTTTAATTTCTCAATAAAAACAAATTATTATTATATAATTAAAGTTAAAAAAATATATCTATACATTTAGTCTTTTATTAATAATTTTGTTAAAATTAGTAATTTGTTTTTTATTATTTTGACAAAAAAACTTTTTTTAAAAATTTTTAAAAAATATATTTTATATATATTTAAATTTTATTTTTTTTTTATATTAGATTCTATAAGTAAATTTATAATTTTGTATTTACTATTTTTATTATTTATTTATTTTATTTATTGAAAATAAATTATTATTTTTTTTGATAAACTATTTAATAAGACTATTTAAAGTAATATTTTATTATTTTACTTTTGTAATAATTTTATTTAAAATAAAATTTTTTTATTCAATTACAAAAATTTTAATACTGTGATAAAAATAGTTTCTAATATCATTAAATAGTTATTTTTAGTCATGATCTTCATTCTATTTCCATTTTTATTTGTTTATTAATGTGATAAAAATAGCATCTAATATTATTAAATAGTTATTTTTGGTCATGATCTTCATTCTATTTTCATTTTTATTTATTTATTTATGATTATTTTTTTGATATTCTTTGATATTCTTATTGATACTTAATTAATATAGATCACTTTATCAAATATAGCACGTGACATAATTTACTATAGATTAGGTAACTCAGGAGGCCTAGAAGACTCAAGTGACTCAAGTGGTCCATTTTTACAAGTATATAAGCAGTCATAATTCATCCAAAAGTAGAATAAGTTTGGATATAACTTTACTTGATTTTATAAGTTGAAATATAACTTCATTTGACTTTGGAAATTTGAATATAACTTCACTTGACTTTATAAGTTGGAATATAACTTCACTTGACTTTGGAAGTTTGAATATAACTTCATTTGACTTTAAAAGTTTAGAAATAATTTTACTTTTATTTTGGAAGATTGGATATCTTCTTTTGATTTTAGGACTAAAGGAATTGTTCTAGTTTTCTTGACTTATTAATAAACTTGAGTTCTGAGCAAACTATATTTTTTGTAAAATACTGTGTGATACTATTTAAAGGATTTTTGATAAATTTATTCTTTGATACTTTTTATTACTATAAATTACTTCTTTAATTCTTTCTTTAAGAATTGTCCTTTTAAAAGCAATTCTACTTGAACACACTGATCAAATATAAATTTGATCACATTTTGATGATAATGACAAGACTCTGCTTTTCAAAAAGAACATTTAATAGGATCTTGCTTTCCAAAAAGGATATTGGAATAGGATTAATCTTTCTTAAAAGGACAATTGAATAAATAATAACTTTGATAACTGGATTTAAAAACTATCACCAGATTTTGTAACTACTTATTCTAAATAATCTCTTAAAACTTCATCTTCTTCTTCAATCTACTCTTTAAATACTTTTAATTACAACCAATACAATGCAATCCATTCTTCCATACTACCTTATAATTTAGCAATGGATAATATTTTTCAGAACTCTTGGAATCAAGCAGGCCATCCTTATAACTTGAATTAATCTTGAAATAGATATCTCCCACAAGATCAGGATAATGAGGAGAAACGTAATAAGTAGGAGAAGCACAATGACAACAATCAGGACAATAGGAAGAATGAATAACAATCACTATTATACAGAAATAGGTCAGGCCAAAGGCAAAGGAATAAGCAAAGGAAGGAATATCAAAATCAACCTATCTATAATTATAGGCAAAATAATAATCAAAATTTCATCAATGTACTATGACAACTTTTGGAATCAATTGTTAAAATAAATGCATCAAGGAATAATAACCAAAGGAAAACAAAACTGGTGGACATACCAATCTTTAAAGGAGGGGAACAAGTTCCTTTTACTTGATTTAATGAATTTGATGAAGGATACAGAACAAATTGTATGAGTGAACAGTGCAAATTTGAAATACTTTTCTCTTACTTCAAAGGAATTGTACACATTTGGTGATCTTCTATGGATAATTAAATTAATTATTAGGATAATGTAGCATATTTAACTGAATCTTTTATTATTTTTTCTAGAGTTGCTTTAAAAAATATTTTAAATTTTAAGCTTTTTTGATAATCTTTTCTATAATTAAGATAAATATATTATATAATTTATTTATATATATTCCAATAGTATAATTTTTATTTATTTTTATATCTTTTAAATAATTTAATTACTTTACTAAAATTATTTATTGATTATATAATATTTTTAATTTTTATACTTAAAATATACTATTAAAATATTATTATTATTTTTTTAGAATTTATATAATTTATTAATTATCCATAAAAATAATTGTTCAAATATTAGCTTTAAATATTTTAGATTTTATTTTATTCATCTTTTTTTTTATTTACTAATAAGTTTTTTTATTTTTTTTAAAAGTATATGTTTTTGCAATATTTAATATCAATTTTAAATAAAACTCTTACTTATATTTTGAATAAGTCATATTATTATTCAATTTTGTAGATTCTTGAATTTTTAACTTATTGATTAATTCAAAAATAGCATATTAACTTATTATTTTTTAATAATGGTATTGTTTTTTGTATATTACTTTATTGACAAGTATAATTTAATAAGACTATCCCCTTTATTCTATTTAGATGTCTTATTTTATTTTCAATTTTTTAAAAACTCATTTACTTTTAATAAAATTATATTTTATAGAAATATTATTTCTTATTTTGATTATTTGAGAAACCTATCTATTTTGATTTTATTTATTCTTTCTATACTATTTATTAAACTATTGCTTATAATATTTTTTATACTCAATAAAATTTATAGAACTTGTTGTTTTAATCTAATTGAAATAAAAGAAGTCATATCAAACATAATATAAATATTATTATAATTAAGTTTACAATTAATAGATAAAACCTAATTCAAGATAGATTTTTGTTTATTTAAAAGATTTAATATTTCGCTAATTAAAATGGTTGACTTTCAGTACTATCAAATAGAAACTAATTAAAAAAAGTTTTATGTAATTTTATTTTTTTCCAAAAATTTATAATTATTTATTGTTTTCCGGAATGAAGCAATAGAGTCTATGCCAATTGTTTTTTTATTCTTGACAATAAAAGGAATTAATTTACAAAAAAGATTTTCAAAAATTTACAAATGTTTCTACCATATAACGCCACCAAATTATTCCCACCGTTACCGTTTGCCGTGCTAGTACTCATTAACCATGGTGAAACATTAATGAAGCCGAAGAAGAATTTTCTTCATGATACGGAAGTTGTATATCTTTCAGCTGATACCTCGGTTTGTCATCAGTAGATAATGTTACCGTCTCACCACAATTAACATTACTCATTATCACATCTTGCTCCGAATAATCAAATTTATCTTTCTTCTTCTCACTGCGCTTTCCTCCCGAATCTTTTCTTGATCCCACTCCTATTTCACTGTCGAATTCCTCGTCAGATTCTTCTTTGTTAGCATCCCCTTCCTCGATAATTTTTTGCAAACGTTCTGCGTCCTTTTCAATCTCCTGATATTCATCTACATCAGTAGGCGATATCACAGACTTTACTGCTTTTAATATTATGTTTGGTATCATGGCCAATGATACTGTTAACAGCGTTGACAGCCAAAATATCGATTCCTTCCCCTGATGTTGAAAGGATCCACGTACATCATATAATGCATTACCACCGACCGGATACACAAATGAATAGACGGTCTGCCACAGGAACCAACCGCATAGTGTCAAGAATGATGTAACATGTGTTAACAGTGTCCAGTTGTGACATTCCAAGTATGCTATCTTACTTGTTACTATAAAGACCACACTTGTATATGAAACTAATCCAAAATCAAACAATTGAGGAGTTCCCGAATCGTTCAGTTCCTCCGAGAAAAATATCCCATGCAGGAACGCCGGTACCAAGACTATCACCATGGCGTGATATAATCCCATTCCCATCCATAAAAGGAATAATTTAAGATTAAATGCCTCATTACGCTGTCCAGTTTGATACAATTCTGGTACGCCTATAAGTGTCCTGCGTTTCAAATCCTTTTCGAATATTCCAACTACTATCACCGGCAATGAGGAAAACAGAGTGTTGTACAACGATAATGTCCATGCCTCATATAAACTTGTCCCCGAAAATCCGGTGAAAAATTGAAATATCCCTTGGGTCAAATAAAAACATATGCATTTGTAGAATGTCCCCAATACGAATTTTGACACTCGAATGTATGACCACCGGCCATGAACAAATAACAAGCTAGTAAGAAACCGAAATTGAGCTATCGAGTAATCGCTAGATCTTGCAGCTTGCATTCCTTCTCGTCCCGTGATTCCAATCCCAACATGTGCCTCCTGAATCATCGCAATATCGTTTGCACCATCACCGATTGCCAAGGTCACCGTAGCCTTCAATCTTTCTCGAATACTCTTCACCACAAGCGCCTTCTGCGCTGGACTCACGCGACAACAAATAACCGCATCACACAATATTCCCAATGATACAAATTTTTCCATTAGCTCTGCATCTCTCTCAATAACTATCAAAGTTGCACCATCTACTACTGCCACGATATGTTTCGCTTTACCATTACCAACATGTTTCAAAGCCCTTTTTAACATCGAATTAAGATCGGGAACGGTGGAATCTATGATAAGCGTCTCGGAAAAATTTTTGATCAACGAACATGAGTATCCAATGTTAATTGCCGTCTCTCGTTTATCTCCGGTCAGCATCCAAACTTTAATACCAGCCCGACGTAATTTATCGATTGCCTCGGGAACACCATCTTGTAATTTATCTTCAATCGCGGTCGCTCCAGTTATTTCCAAATCGCGCTCAATCATTTCCGCCACATGTTCTAACTTCCTTTGTCGATCTACTACAGCGGTCGATGCCTCCTGAAAAAGTTTATTCCATTCATGATATTCTGCTTCATCCAAGAATCGATGAGCGTATAGTAGAGTTCTTAGGCCTTCGGTAGCAAATTCCTGGATGTGAAACAACGTCTCACTATACTCCCAGGCTTCATTGCGAATTGGAAATAAGTCGATCACGGATCGCTCTGATTTTACACTGTAGCTTCGTTCGTGTGAATGATCGTGAGATGTTTCTTGATTGAAAATTCCGGATTGATCATCAACGATATCTATTGGGTAGCCGCTTTCTTGCAGATGCAATTTCTCCTTATCACTACCCATTAATCCTTTTTCCTTATGTCTGAATTTTCTAGGATTTCTTAATCTTTCAAGAACAATGGAATCGGCGCCTTTGCAAAATAAACAGATTCTGCCATCGGGTAGACGATAAACAACAGACATTCTCTTACGTTTGCTCGAAAACTCAATGACATTCAGGATCTGATACGTTACATTCGTTGCTGCACCTTTATTTGTTGTATCCAATCCAATTATACTTTCGTTGTTGATCAAAAGTGATATAGAAGACATCGATTTATCTACCACCACATAACCCAATTCCTTTGCGGCAGTCACAAGAGCGAATTCATCAGGAGAGGCAGCCTGGTAAAATACTTCACCAGTTTCCTTGTCAATCTCCGGAACACATGTATGACACAGGGCAATGGCAAGCAAAAAGAATCGTGCTCTCTCACCAAACGGGGTATCTGCCTGATGTCGCAAGATTGTTAGCAGGT